GGCAGGTGTGGTGCCATTGAGCTAAATCCCCAGCCCCAGGAAAGTATATTCTTAACACTGTATGCTACCATATCTTTTCAACAATTTGGTGTGGAAAGAAAGGAGGAATGAGATGAGCAGGAAAACAACGGAGCATTTTGAGGTACCACAAAAATGAGAGATCTGTAATGAAAAAGGCAAGAACTCCAGTTTAATTTTAAAAGAACCTAAGCTTTTTTTTTTAACTTAAAATAAATGAGATACCTGTACACATTGCATCTTCTTAACCTCTACAGTGGGAGGATCTGTTTTATGCCAGGTGGAATGTAGCATAGCTTCCATATTTCTTCTCCAGGTTGGAAAAGATTGTTAACAAAAAACCCCAAAGGGACCTGGGGCATGGGTGAGGCCCTAGGTTGATTCCTACTAGCATACAAACAACAACAACAACAAAGAAAGGTAGACTGTTCTTCCCACAAAGCACAAAAGGGAGAGCACTGACCAAGCAAAACACAAACTGGGTATGTGCTGTATGCTTACATAGCATCTTCTCAGATCTTTTTTGTTTGTTTCTTTAACACATCGGCAACCACGTAATCAATTGTTTCAGATTGTGTGGCTGATGTCTGTCTTTGGGGCTGGAAGTGCCACTGAGTCAGGGACCTGTCTCTTCCTCACATTTTCCATAGCAATGGACACTCATTCAGGAACCCCCATGAGGAGATACACAACACAAAATGCTGAAGAGAATATAGAAAGGGCCTCAGGGAATGAAATGGCTCAAAGAAAAGAGGACAAAGAACTTTCAAAGGGGAGACAATCCCCTGCCCTAAGCTACTCCCACCAGAAATCTTCAAAACATGTTAGAAGGATTCTAAGTCCCCTTTGCAAAAATTAGGAGGTTTTTATTGAAAAAACAGAGACTTTGAGTGACTGCATAAAGAGAGGCTAGAATTTTCTTTCCAGACTAAGGGACCTAATGCACTGGAAAAGGAACACTGTCCTCCAGCACTGCCAAGCCTTCATTCAGAGGATGAGGTACTGGCTACATTCTGAACTCAACCTCCTAAGAGACCCTGAGCAAGAACCATGCAGCTAAAATCCTCCCAGACTCCTGGAGAGCCGCTGAGGAGTCTTACCAGACAATGGTCATTTTCTTCCAAACCTACTTCAGTTGTTGGTTAAACTTAGTTTCTCTCCACATGCCTACAACAGGACCCTCTGAGAGGGTTGAGAAGCACATATGTGAGCCATGAGCCACATTCTGACCTGGGCTACCGTTCTTTATATAATGTGGAAGCTGAACCACTGCCTAGGTAATTAGAAGAAATGTCAATCATTATCTTGGCCTTTCTTTTCATAATCCTCTCCTACTATGACCCATAACTCCTTTCTTAACCCTATGCAGCTAACCAGATTTCAGAATTCAAAATTTTGTACATTTCATAAAGTTATCCTTTCTACATCATATCTTCAGTGAAATCTGGAGCAGCTACTTGTCAGACACACTAATATTTCTGTGATGAAATACATGATTATTCACACCAAATGGGACAGAGGAAGACCAGAAAAAGCCTCAAGTTTTGCTACCAAATATGTTCAATTTTGGTTAGATTTTGCCACCGAGTAAGTTATAAAAATCTTGTTTTTCAGAGCTTTTCTATTTCAGAATTGTGAGTAGGGACCATAAACCTCTGCTGCCAGGCATGGTGGCACACACTTGTAATCCCAGCACTCAGGAGGCTGAGGCAGGAGGATCCTCATGAGTCCAAGATCAGCCTGATTACAGAGCAAGAAGATGTCTCAAAAAACCAAAACCAAAAAAAAACCCTCTGGTAAGTTCATACTGAAAATTTCTCTTCTTTATTTTTCTCATGGTTCCTGTTCTCCAATGGCTGTTTAGAAAACTACTTTTGTCTATTAAGAAAAGTTTTCTTTAAATGGCTTGAATTTTCATCTATTTCAGTCGTTCTCAAACCTGATTGCACATTAGAGTCACTTATCAGTTGTACTGACCCACCAGCCATGATGGAGCCGGCCGGCTTCCCCGGGGAGAGGTGCAGGGGTCTCTGTTCTTCGCAGGCCCTCAAGGGCTCCAGGTTGCTGCAGGGCCGAGAACAGGGCACATTCGTTTCTCTGAGGCTCCACATTTTCAATCTTATGTTCATCTCTGCTGACAATCACTCTTTGCTTTTTACTTTGCTCTCCTCTAATTTAATTGATTTGTAAGGAAACGGCCTTCGCTGTGTCTTAGAGATAAAATTATGCCATAATCCAATCAAATGATTAGATTCATTTATTGTACCAGCAGGTTGACAGACTCAAGTAGGTGGAAAATTGCAAGGAAGCTTTTTACAAAGCTTCCATTTTAATTTAAATACAGTTTACTCAATGTAGAAAAACAATATAATTCAAACCACATGCATCCAACGGCTTATTTGCCCTTGTGAATATCTAAATAGAGGATGATGCAGGGATGATAAGACAGAACCCTGATTTCTCCCTCTCCCCCAGTTACCAGTCACTAGAGTCAGAAATACGTTGAATGTTTTGGTTTTCTCTCTCAACAGGACTGATCACCAAGGAGCCCTGAAGTTCAGTAAGAATCAGAGCTATCTTATTTCCAGCATTCTGTCTTCTTCTTTCTCTGATCCTTCAGTAATGCCTTCAGCTCGAAAACCCAAATGCTCGCAAAGCTGTTTTGTACCAAAAGCTGACTTGAGAGGCAACAGTAAGTGTCAGATGAAAACTCTGAGTGCCAGGAGCCTCTCCTCTCTGGGAGAAGTTAACTGAGAAGAAGTGACCAGGCTTCCTGGACCAAGAGACCCTTGAGACAAAGCAGGGAATCCTACAGAAAGTCCAAGGTCATTCTGGGAGGGCGGACTTAGCCTGACAGAGGTGAGAGCTAACCAAAGAGTTGTTCTTTACTTAAAACTAATTTTAAGTAAAATAAATGATTTACAAATTTCTTTAGTAAATCCAGAAACATTTAAATTTTGATATGATAGAAATATTTTGCAAACACAGA